ACCACCTTGCTTTAAAAAAAAAATGATTAAAAAATTTAATACAGTGTTCACCCCAAAGAATAACTGTTTTACCCTAGATAAAATATTAGATTTTGGTTACTTCAGACATTGATTACAGAAAGAAAAAAAGACCAATAGCTGGATATATGATAATATAGGATTTTAATTTTGTCACACTGTTTGTGATCTAATATTTCAACAGGTTTCTTATTGGTAAATCTCAATTATCCATATGTATTATCTATCCTTAATTCAATTAGAACCTTTAACTTATATACTTTAAGAGCAAAAGATTCTTGAGGCTTAATCAACAATGTAAAAATCTAGAGTACTATCTTTGATGGTTAAATAAAAATAAAATTCAACCAGTAGTAGATAGTATTAGTACAAGCCTTGATCATAATATCTTAGCTAAAAAGAAATTATTTTGACTGACATGGTAACTTGTAAACTGAAATGTACCGTTTTTAAAAGCAGGAAAATGTAAAAGTATTTTTTCTTTGTAGTATTTATAGATATATGAAAAAGAGGAGGAGGAGAGCAGATATTATTCTCCCTGGAAGTCAGCTTAGGTTTTACTAATTACAGTATAATTTCTATCAATGCCACTGATCAAGAATTTTCTTAGTATAAGCAACAAGATTTTTCTGGAGAAAATTCTGACTTTCACATTTCCTAATACTGACTTTACTCATTTTTCTTGACTTATTTTTTTTGACTCCTATAGAATCACAAAAGTGTTTTATATGATTAAATGGGAGGGAAACAGGAAAATAAAGACAGAGTCTAGAGTCAAGGTTAGACTGCCTCATTTGATATAGTCTCCCACTATTATGATTGTAGCTTTAAAACATCCATGAATTCTCAAAAAGAATGGAAAGGATTAAAACTTCATAGGAATAAAAAGCCAAAATAAAGATGCTAGGCCAATGAATCTCTACTGATAACTCATAAAAGGTAATTTAAGTAGCAAGTTACTGTTTAGGCAACCAGTCTTTAAAAAGTATTCGATAGGAAAACATCTATGATACTGAATAAAAATTATGCAGAGCTGTGTTAAACTTCTTGGCAAAACATTACTATCAAGTTTGACATAGCAAGCAAGACTACAAAATATTCTAGCTAAATCCAAGTGGCTGGCTTCATTGCTTTCATAAAAATCACCATCCCTGGTAAATTCATGTCAGCATGTGAAACTCACCACATTCCTTGAATGACAGTCTCTAATTCCTAATTTATAATCTATCAAATTACTTCAGATATATTTCTGGCACTCTAGAGTGTTCACCTTTTCTTAAAACAACAAGATTCTCTGTCAGCCACTTCTACTAAATGACAACTCAGCTTTTATTTTCCTAGACATACCTTAGGTCTGTCATGAAGTCTAGCATACTAAAATCCATTTTAGGATAAACATAAAAGTAAATATTAGGCAGTGGTGGGTCATCAGAGAACCTAGTTTGGAAAACTAGTACAGGACTTTACTAGCAGAAGGCCAGGAGTCCCTATGCTAGAAGGAAGAGATGAATCTTTATCATGTGCCTTCCAGAATACCCAGTACATTCCTACTAGAATTCCTTCTAGATGCTCTTAAATAAATAGGTTACAAACAGGAAAATTTCCATAGAAGAAAATGTGTTTGTTTGTTTTTCTTTCTGAGAACCATGTTAAAAGGTAAAATATTAAGAAAAAATAAAGGGCATCTTTACTTCTGTGAAAATATGGCAAAACCAGTACTGAGGAGGTTGAGGTATCCTTTTTCCAAACTGCTAAAGTAAAAATCCATGTTTTGGTTAGATGGGATTAGTGGCGGAAAAAGGAGACATCTGTAATACTTTCAACAAAAAAAGATAAATTAAAAAAGGAGTGCCCTGATATTAAATTGAAATTAAAATGGCAGCACCCTTTGTTACCATGATATTTCATGTTCTTAATCTTATTTAGGAAAAAAAAAAAAAAAGAGTGGGGAGGGGGTCTAATGCTAGCCTTAAAACTTGCTCATCTCCTTATTGTTTAGTACAGTAACTGTCAGACTCTACTTAAATAAATATAGCAGCTACAGTATTATAAATGTATGGTCATCAATGTCAGTAACTTGCTACTGTAATGTAATAACATGTATCAGCAATTTACACAGACTCATTTGCTATCCAGAGTATAATTAAACTCCCAACTTTTTTTCACATGGAAATCAAATATACCAGTTGCTGGCACTGACATTTTGAAGTCACTCCTACATCACAGAAAACAGCATTCATCATACAGTTAGTGAGCAAAGGCAGGAACAGAAGGTCACTGTTCAGTTTCATGGCCATTAAATTTGAACAACCTTCTTTAAAAAATGAAAAAGATCAGGAATTCTACACCACAAGTGCCATAATTAAAACAAAATTTCAAAAAGGTATTTGTCTCTTAGTTTTTTTTTTTTAATCTTAAAACTCTTAAATACAAGGTTTCTTATAATTAAGTTTGACATACTAATTTATTAGTAAGCAAAGTAAAAATATACTATACATACTCTTTCAAGTTAACCAACCTTAAACTACTAATGTTGAAAGTGCAAGAAACCCTCAAAAAGAACTCACTTCAAAGTAAAGGTTTATATTTAAAAAAAAATTTTCCCTTTGTAAAAGTCCTTCCAAATAGATATAAATTATGGGCTTCACTCTAGCGCAAGAAAAATTAAGTAACTGAAAATTAGGTAAAGCAGGAAATAGAATAGAGTGTCTACAGTTCTTCCCTGGGCCCTAAAGTTTCCCACATGAATCTGTGTAACTCCCATTGGTAAATGAAGATGTTTTCTCATACTGAGCAAGCACACAACAATCAAGTTTTTACCATCTAGAAAACACTATTTTCTTCTCTTGCCCATGTTTCTGACTAGTATATTTAGTAAAATTTCAACGTAAAACCCCCAAATACCTTGCTTTATAAGAATTTTTTGGAAGAGAGCAGGGAGGATTGGGAGAAAAAAATGTATAAACTATACAAATATTACCTCGTGTAAAGAACTTTGAAACAGTGTTGTAAATTGCATTTCAGACACTTCAATATAATAAATATACAAAATACAGTACTTTCTTAGTTTTCTGGTGGAGGGTCAAAAGATTTCATAACTAATGGAGGACATGGGCTCAGATTTTAGGCTCACAATACAGTAAATTGGCAATAAGAGTAGATTACAGGTAAGAGAGAAACTATAGAGCTAATCCATTTGTTTTCAAAAACAGATGGAATTTTTGAAAGGTTAACAACAATGCCCATTGGAAACAATCTGCAATATTTATACTCTAAACCAGTGCAAAAAAAAAAAAAAATTAAAAGGCAAATTTCATGTGTTATAAAGTGCAAAGCTCCCTTGAAACCGAAGTTACTGGTGAACTTGGTTTTGACAGCTTATTGGTACTTTTTAATATCTTAAAGTAAAATCAATAAAACAAAAGTTTTGCAAAACTTTCCCCCACATTTCAGTGATTTAACTCATTTAAAATAATCCAAGCCCTAACTTCGTCACCATAACCCTAATTTTAAAAGGAAAGTTACATGTAATAAAATAGCAAATTTAAGAAAAGTATCATTTTCCTAATTCATTTTAATAAATGAAAATGGACACCTAACCAGTATGATTCTTCAATAAACATGATTTATTTCCAAAGAATTTAAATACCTTCTAAATCCTAATCTATTCATGATCATTTCTTAAAGTTCAATTTTATTTTTGATATTTAAGGTCAGGCTCAATTAGGATGTTAATTTCCTTCATTTTCATTATGATTTTTAAAGACATGCTTTAGACTTAAAATTATAAAACTTTCCTTCTGAAATTAAGGCTGTATTACTTTGCTCTTTTAAAATCATGTATGTGCCTGCTTCTCCCACTGTCTGTGGTAAAGATGTCAGACAGACACAGCTTTTCTTTAAAACTGCTTATTGCACTATAAGATAGCAAAAACAAGTTATCAGTTCTTAAAATAAACATGATTATATTTCTATAAAAGATGTTAATACAGTTCTATAATTATTAAAGCACTATTCTAATAAATATAAAAGAAAAGGAAGCTATGCTTCAAAATACATACATATATGTTTATATATATATACAGACATATATATAAAAATATATATATGGAAATCACATTAATGTATGAGAGGCAAGTAAAATAGCAAAAAAAATTATTTTTTAAAAAACCTCAACAACCCCTTCTTTTTATCCATCTAATTTCAGATGCCTCATCCTACAGAGTCCCAATCATTTAAAATATTTACTCTTTATATTTATAAAAGCTTCAAAGGATTTCTATGTATAACCCATATAAACAGAAGGCTTTAGAATACATATCACTATAGAGGGAAAGAGTTGTAACTTCTGACAAGGCTTTATATTTATAGCAGCTTGAACAAACTCACTAGAGAAGAAAGAATAGTTTAGGTTGCTACTGCTTATTGTATACATTGCACAACGGCAAATATAAGTTCAGAGCAGAAGGGGGACAGACACAGACTCTCATAAACACACACAGACACACACAGACACACACACACACACACACACACACACACACACACACACACACACACTAATTTTGCTTAAGAAAGCAATATCAAGAGTTGAGGACTCAGAATTGTGTGTGAGACAAGAGACAGGAGGTGTGCAAAATAAAAATAAAAGTCTAGTTTTCCATGCTTCATATTCAAATGAACCAGATACATGAACATTTGAATATCACTGGTAGCATTAAGGGAAAAAAATATAAGTGATGAGGCAAGGGAGGTGGAGCAAGGAATAAAAGTGGTGGTGAGAGGATAATAAAAGGGAAAGAAATTTCCCAATGGAATGAACTATAAAATATATACAAAGAACATATATATCATTTATCAATGCAGATCCAGATATATATGCATATGAAGTATACACTTAAAGTATACACAGATACTTAACAAGAATACACGAATGCACATTAATTTTGTTGCACACATAATTGTGAACAATCACTGATTATTCATGTAGGTGTGTTTTTTAAAAAATCATTATTTACCTTTTCTTTCTTTCTTTTTTTTTTTTTTTTTTTGCAAAGATACTTGTGCTGCCAAGCAACTTGAGGTAAAGACATTAAAAGGGTTAGACTACAAGAAAGTGAAAACAAAACAATGGCGATACTTCCTACAGGAAACCGCACATAAAAGCAGTTGGCTGGTTTCATATTGCATAATGGTGCTGTGTCCCTTGATAAAGTAAACAATCTTCCTGTATCAACATAAAAATCAGACCCTGGTCCCCACAGTGTTGGTTTCTGTATGGCTGGAGGCATCCCCACTCAACGGACTCCACTGGAAACATACGTTGTATGTCAATTCATCTTTCAATTTGTTCCTCTCAGCGAATATTCTCAGACTTTTTAAGCAAAGTACATTGTGCGTAAGGTATCTTGGTGAATCTGTACAGCCTTGGCAAGAGCTTGTGGATCTCGCCCATTGCTCTGTCCTGAAACGTGACTTCCTTCAGCACTGTAAGAGAATTGGCAATGAACACACAAACAAACCTTATCCTGATGTAATAATTTTGAATATTATTTGTTGTAGAAAATTTCACAAATATTTTTAGAAATAAAGGCTTGTATAATCTTACATCTATCACACAGCTTCAATAATTAACTCATGGCCAATTTTACTTCTCTCACTTGCTCAGCATTATTTAGAAGCAAATCCAAGACATACTATGATTTTGTTGGTATATATTACTTTTATCATCAACAATCTTTCTCTTGAGTTAATTTGATAAAGCAAGTAAGTCACTATCTCATTCTATTACTAATAAGCCTAGACTGCTCATTTTAATGGGAACCCTTATCTCGGGCAGGCAGTTCTGACTATCATGCTTTTCATATGGGTCACTGACCCCTCTAGTAGGTCATGGAACTTTAATTCTAAATGGCAGTTCTTTGTGGCACACAGAGAGCCACATACTTATATGGAGCCACATACTTACAAGGAAATAAAGAAATGTCCCAAGAAAATCCTAATATGCAGGCCATGTGTGAATTTGGGTGAAAATCTGTATTTGTTACACTTTTATATTACCTGTCATGTTCTTTGTCTACGAGGTGATATCTGGCTCTGAATGCCACCAGGTGAGCATAATACGCTGGTGCAGGTATAGAAACAGATCGTGTACAGCGCACATAAGTGTGGCAGAGCTGGTAAGTTAGCAGCTGAAGTTCATCTGCAGTAAAGCAGTTATCATCCCATAAAACATGATAGTGTGAAGGACGGCTGGTACCCTATGGAGAAGGCAATGACATATTCTGTTGATTTCTAAACCTTTAAATAAATATTTAGTATAGATGAAGTTATACAAAAAGTCAGCTTTCTACAATAGTAAAACATACGGTATTCTAATTTAATAATGGATTTAAAAAAATATTCAGTTGTTCTGGGTGTACATCCAAAAAAAGTGAAAGCAGGACCTGAATAGTTGTTATACACCTATGTTCAAAAGCAGCATTAGCCCAAAGATGGAAGCAACCCAGTGTCCATTGATAGATGAATGGATAAACAATATATGGTATATATTTAATGGAATATAATTATTCAGCCTTAAAAAGGAAGAAAAGTCTGACACAGCCGAAATCGGTTTGGTTCGGTGAATAGAGCGTTAGTCTGCGGACTGAAAGGTCCCAGGTTCGATTCTGGTCAAGGGCATGTACATTGGTTGCGAGCACATCCCCGGTAGAGGGTGTGCAAGAAGCAGCTGGTCGATGTTTCTCTCTCATCAACGTTTCTAGCTCTCTATCCCTCTTCCTTCTTCTCTGTGGAAAATCAATAAAATATATTAAAAAAAAAAGTCTGACACATACTACATGGATGAACATTGATGACATTGTGCTAAATGAAATACACCAATTACAAAAAGACAAATATTATATGATTCATTTATATAAAGTACCTGGAGTACCTTATATCATGGAGATAGAAAGTAGAATGGTGAGGCTAGGGGAAGGCAGATGAGAAGTTAGTGTTTAATAGGGACACAGTGTCAGGAAAGATGAAAAAATTCTTCAGATAGATGGTGACAGGGCTGCATAACAATGTGAATATACTTAGAATTGTATACTTAAATATGATTAAAATGCTAAGTTGTATGTTATTATATTGTACCACAGTAAAAACACCAGAACATTTACTTGAGCTTTTATGTATTAGTTACTATGTTAGGTAATACGGACTCAAAGAAAAAGTAAAATATTTCTTGTCTTTTGGAAAACATAATTTGTAAAGGACTAAGGAGACAGAGCATCTACAATTATAAAACAACTAATAAGTGGCTATAAGACATGGCAATTCATCCTGTATGAGAACCCCAAGGCAAACAGTTGTGGAAGTGAGCCCTGGCTCTTCATCATGTGGGAAAGGAGTGAGATTTTGCCTTTTTGTTGAGGTTAGTGAGAAGACACTAAATGAACCACTTAACATGTGGTCGGCAAACTGTGGCTTGTGAGTCACATGCAGCTCTTTGGCCCCTTGAGTGTGGCTCTTCCACAAAATACCACGGCCTGGGCGAGTCTATTTTGAAGTGGCATTAGAAGAAGTTTATGTTTAAAAAATTTGGGTCTCAAAAGAAATTTCAATCGTTGTACTGTTGATATTTGGCTCTGCTGACTAATGAGTTTGCCAATCACTGAATTAGTGTATGTGAAATGTATATATATATATATATATATAAAGCTTTAAGATACAGCTTTTTTAAAAAAAATATATTTTATTGATTTTTCACAGAGAGGAAGAGAGAGGGATAGAGAGCTAGAAACATCGATGAGAGAGAATCATCGATCAGCTGCCTCTTGCACACCCCCTACTGGGGATGTGCCCACAACCAAGGTACATGCCCTTGCCCGGAATCGAACCTGGGACCTTTCAGTCCACAGGCCAACACTCTATCCACTGAGCCAAACCGGTCCCGGCTAAGATACAGTTTTATAGTAAGGTACATCTTCCTGAAATTTCTACTTCATTCAATGGCAAGCAGCCTAAAACAGTTTTGTGCTAAGAATACAGAATCACTCTCTGCTGCTGGGATGTTTAAGAAGTACTGAATTAAACAGATATGAGTCTCTCTAAAAGTAAGAAAGCGGAAGACATTTACTTACTGAAAATTTCATCTAATTTTATGTGGAAACAATTTGGAGTGCATAAAAGGTTATTTTCTTCTTTTTCTGACATTAAAAAAATATACATATTAATGGGACTTCATGAATTAAAACATTTCATCTAAAATGTAGGCTTACCTGTATTCCAGCATGACTACAGAGGTAAAAATCAAACTCATATGGGTGTGTAATGTCTGTATCAACAGTTGTTCCAGCTGGGATATTGCCACTTCTTCCAACCTGGGTTTGGTCAAAGTTTAAACAAAAAAAGACAAATGTAAACAATGTGTCTGAAGGCACTTTTAAAAATGTATAAATATATAGGGCGATCCCATCATTCACTACTTTCAGCTTGATATATTACTTAAGCAGGCATTAAGAGCAGACCTTATTCTAGTCCTGGTTCCTATTCTTAAATGTTGCTGAAAGTGAGAGATGATAAACAACAAAGAGTCTCTACTATATGTTTAGCTGGTAGTGGATCCCAGTATGGGTGAAAAAACTAAAAAAAATTTTCTTTCCAGTTATGTTAAGTGCTCTAATTTATGATACCTATGATTAGCTGGTACTCTTTAATGTGTAATTTATGAAAATTAGCCCTTTCCTTGTTAAACTCTATATTTTTAGAGAGAAAGAATGCTAAAAACAACATAACAAATCACCATTTGTTAACCATTTTTATGTCGGGTACTTTTCATACATTATTTCTAAGCCTGGTACCTGCCAGTTAGGCATTATTCCCCTTTGGGGAAACTAAGGCTCGGGAATATAAAATAATTTGCCCACCAGCATACAATAAAGGGTAGATTTGGGAGTCAAATACAGAAACGAGTGCAAAGGCCCTACTTCTTTTATATTAGCAGTTTCAATATTTTGTAAGGAAACATGATTCTCCCTAAGTAGATATGTGAATGAAATGGTTCAAAATAACGAAAGGCTCCTAATAAAACCCTTTCATACACACACACACACACACACACACACACACACACACACACACACACTCATCTCCACCTCCTTATACCTAACACATTTGAAATCATTAACATTATTTCTGCCATGTGAGGTAGTGGCTTGAGCCACAGCCAAGCAGACCAGCACAAAACAAACAGTTCATAATCTACTAAATTATGCTGATTCATTACACATAAATCTAGTACCTATAAAATTTTTTACTCTATTATATTTAGAGAGGTAGCAGAATGCTTGTGTTCACATCACTGCTCTACCAGTATCTAGTTGTGCAATCATGGTATTTTACTTAATTGTGGTTCTGTTTCCTCATTTATATCTAGAGGTCTAGTGCACGAAATTTGTGCATATGTAGGGTCCCTAGGCCTGGCAGGTGATCAGAACCAATTAGGTTTCCCGCCTTCCCGCCTCCTCCTTCCCTCATCACCCATGCGCTACCGCCTTGTGGTTCCTTCCACCTCCCAATCTCCGCCTTCCCTCACTACCCACTTGCCGCAGCATGGGTTCCCCTGCCTCCTCCTTTCCTCGCTCCCTCAGCACCCCACTACGCTGGTAGCCTGCCATGCTCTGCACTGCCCCCTGGTTGTCAATGCACGACAGAGTGAGCAATTGAACTCCTGGTCTCCCAAACTCCCGAGGGGACACTTAGCATATTAGCCTTTTATATATATAGATGGTCTCTAATCTTCAAGGTGTCCCAAAAAATGTATACATGTTTTAACAGCTGATCTTTATTAAATGAAAATAAAATGTATCTAAATAAACACTACGTTTATTATTATTTGAAGAGAGTGTGTGTGTGTGTGTGTGTGTGTGTGTGTGTGTATATATATATATATATATATATATATATATATATATATATATAATTATTATTTTTCGGTCACCCTACATTATCAGTAGTATTTAGAGCAAAACTAAAAGAGAAACAAACAAATGGAAGACTGGCATAAACTAAACATCAGGTACCAATAATCATTAAATTTAACTTAGTTTTCCCCTATTCCTACTTTTAAAGAAACATTTGATTTTTCTTTCTTTTCTTTTTAAAAAAAATATATTTTACTGATTTTTTACAGAGAAGAAGGGAGAGAGATAGAGAGCTAGAAACGTCGATGAGAGAGAAACATCAACCAGCTGCCTCTTGCACACTCCCTACCGGGGATATGCCCGCAACCAATGTACATGCCCTT